GTCCGTCAGCCCTCAGATGAAGTCAACAGCTCCCAGGTCTGGAGGTGGCTGATGAGGAAGAGGAGGAGTGTGGGAGTCAGGATCAGCATCAAGGCAACCTGAGGGGGAAGAGGGAATGGAGCTGGCAGAGAGGCCAAGGCGGAGCCTGGGCTGTCCGTCAGCCCTCAGATGAAGTCAACAGCTCCCAGGTCTGGAGGTGGCTGATGAGGAAGAGGAGGAATAGCTGGGTCCAGTGCCTGTCAAGCGGATTTGCAGAAGGCAGAGGAGAGGAGAGCAGTGGAAATCAATGGGCCGGTCCTCGGGACGGAAGAGCCACAGCTACTAGTGAAGTCCCACCCTAGCTCTGGGGATAACAGTCAGAGGGGAGGAGAGCAGTGGAAATCTATGGGCCGGTCCTCGGGACGGAAGAGCCACAGCTGCTAGAAAAACCCCACCCTAGCTCTGGGGATAAAAGGCAGAAGAGAGGAGAGCAGTGGAAATCTATGGGCCGGTCCTCGGGACGGAAGAGCCACAGCTGCTAGAAAAACCCCACCCTAGCCCTGGGGATAAAAGGCAGGGGGTGAAGATGAATAAATGTGGCAGACAAATATTCATCTCCTTGTTAGCCTGTGTTGAGAGAGGAACATTTTGCTGGGGCTGCCGGCACGTCTAATAAAGGAATCTTTGAGTTCAGAGGGGTTTGTCGTGTTTGGGGAGCTGGGATCCTATTTCCAAGTCTTTTGTAGCGATCAACCCCGTGTGCCGCGTAAAAAATCCAGGCAACACGTGATTCTGACACGCCTTGGCCACTTCCATTGGGAGGAAAAATGTGGAAACTGAGGTATTCTCCCCACGAGGAGGCAGGGAGAAAGCAGGCAGGCGCTTTAACCTGGTGGAAAGCAGGGGGCCAGGCTGGCGGCAGAATCCTCTGGGACTAGACTCTCTGAAGGGATCCTATTGAATCTAGACAATCTCTCTTGCAACCAGGCGGTGTCCAATCAAATGATCTGTTCTGGAAGTCCGCCTCCCCCCCCGCTCCTTCCTGGGGGAGGGGTGTGTGCAGCTAATGGGGGAGGGGGGGTGAAATGGGTTGAAAAAAAATAGAATTCCCACCCCCACCCCCAGGTTTTTTCTTCCTGGTGGCGGCTCTAGGGATCGAGGAAGGAGACGGCGATGTAGCGGGTTCCTTTGGTGGTGGGGAGGCCCTCGTGGTAGTGCGTCAGGCGGCCCGGGTGCAGGAGGGTCCAGCCCTTCCGGGGGGCTTGGATGGAGCAGTTGTAACGGATGAAGCGACAGCCCCCGCCCTGCAGGGGGAGAAAAGACAAACGGGGCTATTTTGAGCCTCCCTCAGCCAAGGTTGCAGCGACCTTGAGGTCTGTTTGACGGCTCCTGCCTGACTGAGTTGCCACATTGCAAAAGGCACTTGGCATTTGTCTCAACTGAGCCTCGGTTGGAATTCTGCAGTAGCGTCTTCTATTATAAACTACTCTTTCTCTCCTTCCTTCCTTCCTTCCTTCCTTCCTTCCTTCCTTCCTTCCTTCCTTCCTTCCTTCCTTCCTTCCTTCCTTCCTTCTTCCTGGCACCCTCTGTAATAAACCTTTCTTCTCTTTTTCTCCTTCCTTCCTTCCTTCCTTCCTTCCTTCCTTCCTTCCTTCCTTCCTTCCTTCCTTCCTTCCTTCCCCCTTTCTCACCTTCTCCCTCCCTTCTGGCACCTTCTGTGATAAACCTTACTTCTCTTTCTCTCCTTCCTTCCTTCCTCTCCCCCTTCTTCATCTCCCCCCTCCTGTTATCTTCTGTGACAAACTTTTCTTCTCTTTCTTTCCTTCCTTCCTTCTTTCCTTCCTCCCCACCTTCCTTCCCTCCATCCCAGCACCCTCTGCGATAAACCTTTCTTCTCTTTCTCTCCTTCCTTCCTTTCTTACTCTCTCCCTTCCTTCTCACTTTCTTACCTCCTCCCTCCCTCCTGGCACCCTCTGCGATAAACATTTCTTCTTTTTCTCTCCTTCCTTCCTTCCTTCCCCCTTTCTCACCTCCTCCCTCTCTTCTGGCACCTTCTGTGATAAACATTTCGTCTTTTTCTCTCCTTCCTTCTTTCCTTCTTCCTTTCTTCCTTCCTGTCTCTCTTCTTTCTCCCTTTCTCATCTCCCTCCTCCCTCCCTCCCTGTCCAGTTTCGGTTTAATAAGCTTTGACAATATTCCTTAGTGCCTTCTAACACTTGGCCAAAATCAAATATTCCTTGCTAATATATCCCCTCTCCCCCCCCCCACCCCCATCTCCACACATTTAATTTGCAAGCGGTCCTCGATTTACGACGGCTGATTTAGTGACCGGAGTTACCACGGCCCACCCCCCACCCCCATCTCCACAGTTCTGGCCTTGCCTTCTGAGCACATGGATTTTAAAAAACCCTGTTATTTCACCATCTCCCTCCTACGCGGACTCAGCCGTTTTGTCCTCCCTTCAAGGCGGCCCCGAAGGTCTTACACTCACTTCATAATCGATCCCCACGCGATTCAAGGCGATGTTGATGGTGAAGGTGGAAGCGTCGTGATGCGGCATCAGGGACGGCTGCTCGTCCGGCTTGTAACGGACGACGAAGGCGAGCTCAAACTGGGTCTGTAGAAAAATAAAAATAAAAATAAAAAAGGGCTGGGCCAAACCGTGGCTTGTGAAATCTCCCGCAAGCCATCATCAGTCGCAAGCGAGCTAGGAAAAAGCAAAAGAAATGCTTGCAAGGATTAAGGATTGCTGCTTTTGGGAGTGGCGCATGGCCCTCGTACAGGGCGGGGCATAACCTTTTCCTAGGGGGTCACAGCAATACTTGTAATAACAACACAAATAATTCATACACCATT